AAGCTTATCGAAGACTTATAGACACTTTATAAGCGCGGGATTTCCACCACTCTTTTTCTTTACACGGGTGGCTGAGTGTCATTATTGGTCAAGTATGTTCGACTAGGGGCTGGTCTTTGGGTAGAGATTTGACTTGCGTCCAGGCCTACCGTGTTGTAACTGTCTCCGGGTTTCACAAGAACTTCTTACCGCGGGTTCGCAGGACTTTAAAAAAGGCTGGTCATTTAAAATTCTCTCTGGAGAGTTACAGAGGAGAGCCTAAACACCCGTAAGAAGCTTCTGTCTCATAGAGAGCTTGGGCCACGTGTACCTGAATTTCACTCGGCGAGTGTAGTCGTCAATTGTACTCTGCATCACAGTTTTCGTTCTTACATCATTGATAGCTTTTTTACCAGATTGACTATCCTTGCCAGTATTTCTCAGAGAAAAAAAAGAAAGGAAGCTTAAATGCGTATTTTCTACATTACATTATCAATGAAAAGCACAGTGTAAAGAAGGAAATGCTGAGATCGTTTTCCTTCACACCATCTCTTTTTTCTTGTCTAGTCTCTTTACTAAGTCAGCTACACTGTTTAATTTCACAATTCACAAGTCTTTCGGTGATAAGTATCTGTAAGAACAGAGAAATGCCGCAAGATGCATCTTTAAAAGAAAGCAATTTCCTGAAAAACTAGACAATAACGTGACGTTACACAGCATATATGTGTACCGTGCATCAATTCAACGCAGAGTCAGGTCGAACGAAGAGAGCTGAAATCTATATTTTACCCGTTGCTCTATGTGGTAATAAGTGTCAGAAAGATCATGGAAGAGTAATATTTTTAACGAATCAATCTTTCCTGAATATTTCATGTAGCTAAGAGGAACATGAAGCCTTAGTTACAACATAAGTTTTCGAAATTCTCAATAAAGCCGTCTTGAGATATAAACATCGTTCGCTTTAACCATCAGAATCAAGCAACAAAGGTATTTCCAGATGGAACTGCTGTTGCGTTGATATAGATGTTACGACCAGTTAATGTCGAGGGGAACCTTTTATCGAGCACACCACGCCCGGCGAAAGGCATCAAGAATCTAACATTATCTTTTTCACTCTTTTTTCTTTAATGACTCGGTTCTCCAGTAGACGATATAGTACACAACGATTACAATACTTTCGAGTGAATATCCCGAACGGTATTTATTTGTCGAGACAACTCTATTGATGGAATCGAAAAATAATGCCGAAACTAATTATAAGTCTTCTTGTCTTAAAAAAAATGCGAATGTACTTAAATACAAGAGCTCTTTTCAACGAGCAATTCTTCGTTTTTATCATGTAAAAACATTATCTTTGGCCCGTCAAAAACGAACGCGCCAGACCAAAATATCTAGCGTGCATTTTCACGGAGTTCGGTCATTTTCTTGCTGTACTCTTACTGTAATCCTACTCTTGGGACAAAACTCGACGTGTTTGGTCTCTACTTCTGTTTTGATTCATTTAAATATATCAATTTTAACTTAAAAATTACCCTACCTTTATTGTTAAGTGAGCAAACCTCCGTTTTAGGTAAATTTTTTGAGTTTATTTTTCCCGCTAGAGTGCTAAATAAACAAATCGCTGTTTACAAAGATACCAGCTCTGTCGACGTGTTTTTAGCTGAAATTGGCCTGTCGCCTATATTGTTCTTTAATTTACAATCTATCCGACTGGCATAATTTTAGAGTAAATTACATGTAACTATAAATGTTGTTGTAAATACGTGAGCGTGAGCTAAATAAAATCTTCGCACACATAAAATATTCGAAACATGTCAGTTGTCGCAAGAAAATACTCGCTTGTGCATGAACCTCGTGTATACATTCGGTGTTATGCTCGGTTGCTTTTAATAGATTTCTACCACTGTCACTGTAATTAAAATAGCATGTTTGTGTAGTCCACCTGTTTAGAAACAACCGACTGGAAGAAATTACGCCGTTAGTTACTGGCGTAAAATCTTACATATAAACACAACTGACTGGAAGAAATTATGCCGTTTGACGACATTTGACCTGACTCACTTTGGTCGCTGGAAAATTTTCTACTGATACAGCTTGCAAGAGACCGACAAATTTGTTAAGTTTTCATGACATCGCATCTATGACCTTTTTTTCTAGGTGGGCATTAAATGGTAGACAAAAAACTTTGCTGGGTTCGGCTTCTCAAAGGTTGCGATTTCCATATCTGCTCCCGCTTCCTGCCGTCTCCAGCCCCCTGTTCTCCCTGGCGCTCACCCCCTCCACTAATGTAGAACAAATAATTTGGGGCGACCAAAAGATTTGATCCGGTAAATTGGCCGCACAAAAGCTGACAAGGGATAACGATTTACGCCTTTACTTTATAGGTATGGGGTGTAATTACCATCAAAAATAAATGTTTAATTATGGTATCCACAATTTCAGTTATGACATTGAGATTTGCAATTGTGCTATTCCAATGTGACGCCTTAATATGCTATTTGGTTCTTGTGTTATGACATTATGCTATCACATTTGACTATTATGCTTTTACAATGTGCTGATTTGTCACTGTACCTTGGTGTTCGGCTGTTACACTTTGCTATTTTGCCATTGTATTCTAGTATTCTTCAATTTTGACATAGGGAATAGCAGTTTTTCTGTTGTGATTTGTCATTTTCATAGCGTGCATTTCGTTATGGTGTTTTGTCAAGGTAACATGTAGTTCGGCATAACACTCAGAAACGAGTTTCGGACAAGATAAATTATTTCCTGTCAAAATTATAATTATGTTAATTTATTTCTTCTCCGTTGCCCTGTCTTGGTTGGAAACATGGCGGCTTTTCGCGAAAGAAGAGGAAGAAGAAGAGGCGACCCGTATTAATAGGGAACACACATCCCAGGGTCCCGGGACCATTTCAGTCCCTAGAGTAATGCTAGCGAATGTTATGTCCTTAGTTCCGAAGCTAGATGAGGTTCAAAAACTCTTATTACGGCTAAACGTTCCTGTCGGATGCATCGTGGAATCTTGGCTGAAACAACATATTAATGACTCTGTTGTAAACACTGATGGTTATAATATCGTCCGAAAGATCGATCCTCTCACGAACATGGCGGCGTATGTATATTACATTCAAGATCATATCAAGTTCGAAATCCCCGAAAATTTACAACTCAGGCACGTTAAGGCATGGTTACAACGTGAAAACGAGGCAAAAAAATTATTTTTTCATTCCAGGCCGTTGTAGAAGATCAAATTTAACAAAATTTGGCGAGGTTATTACTATGGAAATTATGTATCACTCCATGCAATATCATTGCCATAGCAACCATAATTAAATTATAGTCACCCTTGACGACACCCAAATTAATTACCTTACTTTGAATTGAAATGGGGCAAACCAAATCTTCAAGACTTGAATCAAGTTCGCCCAAACCGTATTTAGGAATAGTTAATTCATAAGAGTTAGCCCTGCAAAGGCGTCGGCATCAGCCATATGTCCGTGGATGAATAGGTAAAAGTCAGGAAATCGTCACGGCAGCAGTTTGGAGGGTCTTTACGTTAAATTCTTAATGGTTACGAGCTTTGGGGTCAACATTGCAAGGCTAAAACAAGAAGAAGAAGTTCAGCAGAACTAACGTATGTTAAAAATTTTCACACTTGAATCGATTTTCTTTCCCCCATGGCGCAAAATAGGTCGTCACTCGACAATGTTCCGATTCGGACGCCATTTTGTTTCACGGCCGTTGGGAGACTGAAACAGAAACTTCGAAGTCCCTTCCCCTGGGGAAGAATTTAATTGTATTTATGCCCTTTTTCTGGGGGATATGGTGAAATGAACTATGGACTAAAAAGCAGACTTCAAGATGGCGGTCGAAGGAGAGGATTCTTCGAGCTGTCGAATTAAGATTAAATCGGGTCGTTTTTAACTTTAGGGTGCCTAACAGCCATTTACAGTGTTCTTCTAGGCTACAAAATACATTTCAAGGTAGTGTTTTCTTAATATTTCCGTAATTCTTTAATAAAAAAATCGATGAAGAATGGCAATGGTCCATTCAAACCTTCGTAGACTTTATATTAGTTCATGAATGAATAAAGTGGTCCGCAAACGCGGCTCGTATTACATGTTACATGTTACATGAGCTCCTTAGTTTTTGGCGCGCAATTTGTCTTAAATTTCGAGCAGTTAGCTAGTTCAAGTAGCAGCGTGGAGAGTTCCAACTTGTGTTTAATTAGAACACAATATCAAATCCCATATCCTCTGCCAAGGCAACAAAGATGTCTTTAAAGATTGACTGTGCTTGGGCAAGAGTGTTTCTTAGAGAAACTAAAAGTTTAAGCAAAACTGAAAGGATTCCCGGTGAAGGAAATACAAAGTTTGCTGCTAGATTGCTGCAAGATAGATTTAAAATCTTCAATGAACATTTTCAAGAATACCCTGGGCTACACATAAAACGGGAAGACTTCATGCGGCATTACAGAACCATTGATGAAAAATTTTACAACTGGAGAAGTAAAACCGAAAAAGAAGCATACCTAAAAGCATTTTCCTCAATGAACTGGAATGAGGGCAAAGTAATTAGTAAAGAAGGGAAAAAAGATCACTCGTTGACCAGCTGCCAGGCCTGTCTTTTATTCAACTCTCAATTAAACTACCTTCCCTATAAGTAAGTTTTGCAGAGGGGCTAGGAAAGGACCTCTGACTGAACTTAACACAAATGTCAAGAGACAATGTCAGAGAGAACCTAAGGTCACAAAAAGGAAATTAAAAAGCATTGGGGAAGCAATATATGCCACTTACAATGAAAAATGCCAGGAAAACTTTCAAAAATCACTAAGTGACATTCTAGTGCTTGTCCCTGAAGTGGGTCTTCAAAAGAAGCCTTCACCTGCTGAAAAGAAAAAAATGAAGAGAAATGAGCGAAGGCAAACAAAAAAAGAACTAGAGACCAAAATGTCACAAAATGACAGTGCAGTTCACCTTAGCCTTCGACAGTCTTACAGTTCAAGACAAGTCCAAAGAATGGCCCTGTCCTTTGAAACCTTTGAAGAGGCCGAGGAGAGAGCAAAAACGACCCCACCAAAGGTCAGGGAACGATCCCACACAGCTTCACCTGCTAACATAGAAGGAAAGTTGGACCAGCTACTTGCAGATGTAGAGTCATGGCCTGATGGTCCTCCAAACTGGTCAGAAAAAGCCAGAATGTACAACATCAAAACCAAGGGAAATGATTCGACACCTGGCAATGGAGGGCAATTAGTCAAAGCCTTTTTGAAGTCAAAAAAAGTAGACATTACCCGATTTAAGCCCCCATCAGAAGTGCATCTCAATTCAGAGGATGGCCTTACAAAAAAGTGGTAAATTTGTAACTAAGCCAACAGTGGAGAGTTACATCTCTGCAATATCATTAATAAGCAAAAGAAATTGTGTATTAGGATTGAACAAAATTTGATTTATTAATTAAAGAACAGTGAGATTTAAGAGTTAAAATTTAGAATTTAAAAGTAGAAGAAGAAGGCCTGAAGTAATAAGAATGCATACAACAGTCTAAGTCAAGTTAATGATGAATATGTGACCCTATAATACTTTCATGGGTTTTTATCATTTCTCTAGCCTCATGTAAGAAAAGGTTTGATTTTTCCAGGATTCAGGGTACGCAGAGCTATGAGGAAGCAAAAGGGGGGAGAAATTTCTGTGCCTGTGATGCAATCAAATAAACAACTCAAGCAAAGCATCCATGAAATAGAGAGTGGCAAATTTAACATGGAGAGCCAGTGATAGAAAGAGAGATTACCAAATTGGCTATAAATGCACAGGGAGAGATAGAGCAGAAGTGTTTTGCAAGCAAGGAAAATTGCTTCCAAGAATTAGAAAAGAAGATTGATTAAAAACCACCTCCTTAATAAAAAATGATGCATTTTATGAAGAGCTCAGTCTGTTTAGAAACAAAGACTGTGAAGAAATAAGGGGAACACGTTAGTCAAACTGGCGTAAAATCTTACATATAAAAGGCACAACTGACATGGAAGAAATTATGGTCACATGCTCTTTTTTGAGAGAGATTTGACCTGAATTCATCTCTCTGATGCAGAAGCTGGAAAAATTGGACTGAACAGATTGCAAGAGACCGACAAATTTGTTGAGTTTTCATGACATCGATAAAATTTGTCTATGACCTTTGACGTAATAAAGAAACGAAACAGAAATTTTCTTTCTGGATGGGCATTAAATGGTAGACAAAAAACTTTGCTGGGCCCTTCTCAAAGGTTGCATTTCCATATCTGCTTACAGAACTTCCTGCCGGCAACTCCAGCCCCTGTTCTCCCTGGCGCTCATTAAAAGATCTCTCCACGAGCTGAAATTAATGTAGAATTTTAAATAATTTGGGGCGACAAAAAGATTTGATCCGGTAAATTTCTGTGTACAAAAGCTGACAAGGGATAACGATTTACGTCTTTGCTCCATGAATCACATTAAAACATTCATAGGTATGGGGTGTAATTACCTGTCAAAAATAAATGTTTAATTATGAAATATCCACAACTTCAGTTATGACATTGAGATTATGCAATTATGCTATTCCAATGTGACGCCTTAATATGCTATTTGGTCCTTGTGTTATGACATTATGCTATCACGTTTGACTATTTTGCTTTTACAATGTGCTGACTTCTCACTGTACCTTGGCGTTCGGCTGTTACACTTTGCCATTTTTGCCATTGTATTCTAGTATTCTTCAATTTCGACATAGGGAATGGCAGTTTTGCTGTTGTGATTTGTCATTTTCATAGTGTGCGTTTCGTTATGGTGTTTTTTCAAGGTAACATGCAGTTCGGCATTACACTCAGAAACGAGTTTCGGACAAGATAAATTATTTCCTGCCAAAATCATAATTATGTTAATTTATTTCTTCCCAAAGATGCCCTGTCTTGGTTGAAACATGGCGGCTATTGCTCTTCGCGAAAGAGTTTGGTGAAGAAATTATTAGAAGCATTGGCGACCCGAAATTAATAGGGAACACACATCCCAGGGTCCTCCGAAAATGGAGTCCTTCCAACACTGGGGAAGGTGCATTCAAAGCGGAATCAGTGCTAGTGAACGGACGGAAAACCGACGGAATGTACTGGAAAATCTTTCGATCAATTTGAGAGTTTCAGCCGTACACGGCTCGCGCAAGATCAACTCATTAATTCTGAAGCAGCAGCAGACAGCAGAAAATAATCAGCGAACCACGTCAGACTCCAGCTGAAACTAAATGAAGGAAACGGAACACCAAAACTAGAAGATTTTTTCTTCAAACGAGATACATGGACCCACGATGTAAGTTATATGAAAAACTTAAAAAAAATGCAAAAAATTCAAGCTCATGTAAGCGCCTATCACTGGCATTCAAGCAAGTTTAAAGAAATACCTCGGCAATTTCAACAAAATCTCCAACTCCAAAGTCTTCTCCACAAACCACATCTCACGAAAAACATGAAAAATTTCTGGAAATATGGAAGCATTCCCCTTCCTAAATAAA